CTGCGTCAATAATATCAACATTCTTTGGTGTTTGCAGTAATGTTCGATAGTCTTTTGGTAGATGACTTATCCCTGTAGAACAAATTTTTTTCATTTTAAAAAAAGTTGAGCTTCTGCAGGTGACAAAATAAAAACGTACCTGATTTGTTCAGAATTCGCAATAAATCATTCACCGCTCTTGTTGTTATGCCATAGCAATTAACCCAACACCTCAATAAATCCTTCAGCAGTATATCATTGTTTTCTTCACTGTACATTTGGTCTGATTCATCGAAAATTTCTTGCTTTCTCTTCCTAACTATATTTTGAATTTGCCTGAATCGGCATACCCGCACATTTACAGGCATGCTTTGTTTTTTTTTATAAATTTTACGAACCATATTCTACAGGTATTTGGTTTATTTAATATTGTTTATTTAATATTGTCTTGTCACTGTCACATTAATATGTTATGTACAAATATTTTTTATTTGCTGCTGAAATGTCAATATTCATATGAAGTTGACTTCATTTGATGGTTTTCGAATTATGAAGTATAATTGACAATATCATAATAAGTGAGGTTAAGTTGCTGAAATATACTTTGTATTAAATGTGCTATGTCATGCCAGTTCTGTTTCAACAATTGGTTATATTTATTAATCAACAGTAGCTCCTATATGAACAGTTAGATCCTGCAGGTAAATTCATTTTTTTTAAATATTTATTGGCTTGAATAAAATCAATTTTATATATTGTAAAAATCCAACATTTAGCCTTCACATCGATTTATGTTATATTTGTGGAAATGTCGGAGACCGATCAGATAATGGATATTGAACAAGCTGCATCAAAGGATGACGCCAAGTTACAAAACCCTACGTCAAATCAAATGCCAGCAAAAAGGGCAAACTCTGAATCCTTCAGAAGCAAGCTGAAAAAAATAAAACGAAAACCAACACAGAGTCAAATCGTGACCAATATAGAAAACAATCGTTTATTCGATAAAATTAACACTTCAAATAAAAATATTATCGAGAAAAACGATAACGG